TGGCCCAAAGGCTTCCGTGGGGATTCAAACCAGGGTCTCCCAGATAGTCACCCAACTTTCTAACCACCACACTGTGCTGGCTCTTTAACCACTTCCCCATCAAACGGACCCAACACGCGAGCCGAACACTGGGGCTTCCCTCGCCAAAACCCATCGGTCTAGCCACAGATCAGACATCCAAGCCTAGTCACGAAGATCAGTAGAGAGACACTGCCCCCCATTGTAATGTATTCCATTTTTTATTTTTTGACTTCCGGTCACAGCCAACGTAGGATGATCAGTGTTCCCTCTAAGCTGAGTTGGTGTGAGCTAGCTCACAGTTTTTTAGCCTCTGGCTCACACATTTTTGTCTTAGCTCAGGAAGGAGGGCTCCAGAGCAAACTAATTTATGCAGGAGCCAAATCGTTCGCTCACAACTTTCATACCAGCAGCTCACAAAGTAGAATTTTTGCTCACAGGGCTCTACAGCTTAGAGGGAACTTTGATGATGATCCCTTGTGGGGTTTTCAAGGTGACAGACGTTCAGCGGTGGTTTGCTGTTGCCTACCTGCGCACAGTGACCCTGGCCTGCCTTGGTCTCCCATCCAAATACTGACCAGGCCCGACCCTGCTTAGCTTCCGAGACCTGACAAGATTGGGCGAGCCTGGGCTATTTAGGTCAAGGCGGGTATTTCAAAGTCGAAGATAAACTAGGTAAGGCACATTCTGACCACTGCTGAGGTGCTGGGATAACGTGGAGGGGAAAGACAAATGCCTAGTGTGGTGGGCTTGACCTCTGATCTGCGGATCAGTCTGCCTTGCGTGACAAATAGAACAGGAATGTTTCTTAATGGCTGGAGGCGTCTTCTTGACTCCCGAGCGTCAAGAAATTAGTTGGGCCAAGTGCACAGCAAGACCCAGAAGAGCAAGCGGGAGGGAGGAGACAGAGGCGGGTCTGAGAGAGAAGAAAAGGGCAGTCAGTTATGCTGGCGAGATGGGGAGAGGGGCAGGCAGGTGCCACGGACGTGGGGCAACGGATCTGCTGCCCTGCAAGAGTGCCCCCACCTGCGCTCTCCTGTCTGTAAATAAAACAAATAACTAGAAAAATAACCCTCTGAGGCTCCTGCGCTTTGTTCTCCAAAGGGAACCAGCTCAGGTAACGCACGGCCCCTGGAACTCCTCATCATTCGGGAAGCAAGAGGCTCCTAACACCACCGCCACTTCAAACCTGGCTTCACACCCCAAACGATCAAGGAATCCTTTCTCTACTTCCCTATCTGAGAGTCCCTGCTGAAGCCTCCTATGGCCGGGAGGCACACAGTGTAGAACGGGGGTCCCCAAGATGGTGCCTCTGGGCGCCACGGAGCCTGCTGACACCTTTCCTGGTACCCAGGAAAGTTTTTTCTTAAATGGGTGGGGCCACATGGGACTCTTGGCCAGCAGGACTTCTGATTGGCTGTACAGGTCGAAATAACATTGTGCTAGCAGCAACTAGGAGCTGCGGTGGCTCAAGTGGTTAAGACGCTGAACTGCAGGCTGTGGAAGGTCGGTAGTTCAGCAGTTCGAGACCCGAGTCTGCCGCATGACGGAGTGAGCTCCCGTCTCTAGTTCCAGCTCCTGCCATCCTAGCAGTTTGAAAGCAAGAAATTGCAAGTAGATAAATAGGTACCGCTTCGGTGGGAAGGTAACAGCGTTCCGTGCACCTTGGTGTTTAGTCATGCCGGCCACGTGACCACGGAAACGTCTTCGGACAGCGCTGGCTCTTCGGCTTTGAAACGGAGATGAGCACCGCAACCCTAGAGTCGGACTCGACTGGGTTTCGAGC